TAACCCTAAATTTGTGTAAGGAAAGGGGGGGTGGGTTGATCCTTGTTAACCCCTGAGAAGGGGAGGGGTTTGCCTTGGTTAATCCAGAGAGGAGGGGGGGGGGGGGAGGGAAGGATTTACCTAGATGGAGCAGGAGTTTACCCCAGTTAACTTAAAGAGGGGAAGATCTTACCTAGTTCATCAAAAAAGGTAAAGTTAACGCAGGAAGGGAAAGGGGTTTTCCTCTCCCAGTTAACCCAGAGGAAGGGAGGGATTTACCTGCGTTAATCCACAGGGGAATGAGGGGGGGTTAACCCAATTAATCCAGATAACTAAACATATTACTTCTCTGTCGACCAAACCACACACTAGAAGGTGAAGAGACGACGACGTTTCGGTCTTGATAACGGTCCAGGACGGACCGAAACGTCGTCGTCCCTTCACTTTCTAGTGTGTGGGTTTAGGTAACATATTTCAGTCAGGTTGTTGTGACTCCTCGTCTGCATATGTTACTTCTCTTGTTTCAGTGTTGGCTGGAACACATCCTGAAGGCTTCGCTACGCTGGTGTTGGCTGCGATCTTCCTGCTGCGTCTCGTGTGAGTGCCAGTGAGGTCACGGGTTCGATTCCCGGTAGGTCAGAGACACCTTGGCATATTTCCTTTTACCTGATGACTCTGTTCACTTAGCTGTATATAGGTACCCTAGAGTCACTCAGCTGTTGTGGGTGGCAGCCTGTGTAAATTTGACATGAAAGGCCATTATGGGAAGTGACTGTTGGGCCAAGATTTGTCAGGCGTATATGCAATTACTCGCGAAACCGCTACATCTTTTGTTAATGATGGTGGCTTCGTTAACATTTATTGAACAGCTTATAAGATTAGTAACTTCACAACCTCAGGTTATTATTGTTATAAACAACCTCAAAGTGCTTCGGGGTTCATAAACTGTGTTATAAATCTATATAAACCCATTATGATTAGGCAAAGATGTACAGGTTTCGTAGTTGAATCCTGGGCCCGGTACTTCAAATAATAATGTACTGTTCAATATGGTTATTAATATTGAAAGAATTATTAATTTTAACAGGCCTAATAATTTCCTACGTGGCTACCTACTGTATTTCAAGTGTTGAAATTGATAATTTTGGGTTGAGGAAGGAAATATATAGATACTCACTGCCACTATTGTTGAACACTGCCACTATTGCCTGTGATGTCTGTCAACTTGTCAATCAAAAAATTGTCTCGTTGTCACTGTTAAAAGTACAATTTAACACGGGCTCATCATAGCCCGTGCTACTTGGAACTTTTTGTTCCAAGTAGCGAATCTTTAACAACAACAACGTACAATTTATTTTAAATATTTCAGCGGAGCCTGATAGTCACTTTACCATAATACTATTTAATTAAACTTTTTTAAACGAAAAATTTACATTAACATATTTTGTTATCTTGTAATTTTATCATTTTATAACAATTGACTGAAATTTTAGTATGAAATTAATAAAATAAAAGGGTATTACAGCAAAGTTAATTTCGGACTATGCTGTAGATAAAAATTGGCTCTGTAGTTGAGGAATTCAAATTGGGAAGTAAAATAGAGATGGAATATTACCCGAAATGTATCTCTTAAACAATGGATACAAATTGGATAAGTTTAGATTCAGGAAAGACCTGGGTAAATACTGGTTTAAAAATAAGGTTGTTGATTTTATGGATCAAATTATCGGGTAGCATAATAGACTTTGGATCGCATGGTTGTTTCATGCGTAGGCTAGACATACAAGGGTAGTTTATATCCATATAAATATCAATATTTATCAAGGACTCAACCTATAAATAGCTTGAGTCCTTTATTATTTTCTTATTACTAATATTGGACTCAATTGATTTTTTTCAATAAAGTTATTTTATGCTGTTAAATGTTAGTTATAGAGATAATGATTTCTCATTTTATTGTTGTCATATTTAAGTTAAATCACTCAAAACGTGATAAATTCTTATCTGATTCATATAAAGGTATTTATATATAGGTTAAGGTATAGATTTTCATGATTTTGGAAATGTTCACTATTAATTTTAGATCGTCGTATATAATGCTGTATTCAAAGCCTTAGTAAAATGAGTATTGGTATATTAGTTGCAGCCCATCTGACCTTAAATTAGTGGTCAGGGTCTTAAACCAGACCACTAATTTATAGTTAGCTCGTGCTAATACTTAACTCTAATTAACTATGTTCACTATTATTATTTTTATTGTGCACATCACTTGTGAATGATCACTTGGAGTTGTAAGTTAGACCTGCACCTTATCTGTAGTTACTAACAATTGTATTTTACTAGTAATTATATTACAAGGTACTTTATTAATTTTGTAAAATAAATTCTATTACTTAATTTGTAGAATAAATTGTTACTAATTATGTAAATTAATACAATTTGTTAACAATTGTACGTTACTAGTAATTATATTACAAGGTATTTTAATAATTTGTAGAATAAATAAATATTAATTAAAATGTGTTGATCATAATTATTAATTACCCAAGTGAACTGCTACACAAATACAGGTGTGAATTACAGGATTACAAAACTGCATTTGACATACGTATTTTGTGTATTTCTTAGAGTGAGAGGCTTTGTTCTTTTGTCCCAGATGTAATCACTTGGTATCTCAGCCGAGTAATTAGTGATTACGTTGAAGAATGAGTAATTAGTATAGTCCTTAACAGAGGAGAGGGTGGAAAGCCTCTCACGAGGTATCAGTCCATTACTGGAAGTGTTCCCTTGTTGTCAAACTCCTGTTTCAACCATCTGTTTCACATGATACAATAGACCGCATCAATTTTCAATTGGCAGTGTTATCTAACGTTGAATAGACGATAACAGGTTACAGTTGCTGGTGCTGTAACTCTTCTAGTTGTGCTTACGTGAGTTGAACTTCTGTTTTTGAGACCTTTCTTAACATCAAATAAAAATCTAAGCTACAGATTTCCAAGGTTTTGAGGGGCTCTGTCATGTCTACAGTTGAAGCTGGGAATTGAGTCTGATTCCACTTCACTTATTAGTTACTGGGACTAAAGAAGAATGTAAGAAAGGTTTGAAAGTGTTGGACTAGACATTCTGGGGATAAGCTTAGTTCTTCATTGATAATACGGAATCATTTCTTGAACAATGCGCTCGACATCAGTGGTTGCAAAACTCTATGAATGCGTAGGGAACTTTCAGCAGAAAGCGCTATATATGAATGTATATATATGGAAGACAAAGTGAAAAATTAAGGTACCAGATGAACGTACCCTAATTTTTAAGATACCTTCCTTAAACCTTAAATCAATGGACTCTCTAGAGACACTTTAGAAATTTTATTAATCCAAAACATTGTTAAAATATTAAGACATACTTACAGGTCAATCGGTACACTTTTGTAATGGCTTTAAGAAACCTATGACAGTTTCTGTCAGAAAATTTCGTAAAGCCATTACAAAAAGGCCATTACAAAATAATGAAAAAAGGCCAGTGCTCTCAAGGCTTCCTAGCACAAAGTAGAGCATGAACCTATAAAATAGTCATTTAAGCATACTTCACTATGGAAAAATGCCTTAAAAAAGTGGTACATAGACTATTGTCTCACAAAATTCATAAACACATATTTATATTAATTCTATAGAACACAGATCTTGGGTAAAAAAAATTAGGGAGCAAGTGAAACCAAAATAATGAAGGAAAGGCCGATAAACCGAATCAAAAACATATATATATATATATATATATATATATATATATATATATATATATATATATATATATATATATATATATATATATATATATATATATATATATATGTCGTACCTAATAGCCAGAACGCACTTCTCAGCCTACTATGCAAGGCCCGATTTGCCTAATAAGCCAAGTTTTCATGAATTAATTGTTTTTCGACTACCTAACCTACCTAACCTAACCTAACCTAACTTTTTCGGCTACCTAACCAAACCTAACCTATAAAGATAGGTTAGGTTAGGTTAGGTAGGGTTGGTTAGGTTCGGTCATATATCTACGTTAATTTTAACTCCAATAAAAAAAAAATGACCTCATACATAATGAAATGGGTAGCTTTATCATTTCATAAGAAAAAAATTAGAAAAAATATATTAATTCAGGAAAACTTGGCTTATTAGGCAAATCGGGCCTTGAATAGTAGGCCAAAAAGTGAGTTCTGGCTACTAGGTACGACATATATATATATATATATATATATATATATATATATATATATATATATATATATATATATATATATATATATATACAATAATATGACATGAGAATGAGAAAGGGGACGATCACCTGTAATGAAATATGAAAGAGGGGAGACGCAAGCAAGGGGAAGAAAGGAGAGAGAGAGAGAGAGAGAGTGAGAGAGAGGGGAATAAATGAGCGAGTAATGGAATAATGCCCTAAAGAGAAGACCATATTCCAGGAATTAATATATATATATATATATATATATATATATATATATATATATATATATATATATATATATATATATATATATATATATATATATATATAATATATATATATATATTTATATATATATATATGAAAGTTAATTTTTTTGCTTGCTTTGCAAGTAGGTGAAGGAGCAGTACTGGTGGTGGTGGTGGTGATGGTGGTGGTGATGGTGGTGGTGATGGTGGTGGTGATGGTGGTGATAAATGGGGGGGGGTAGGGGGTTTTAACAGTGGCCACTGTTTAGAGAACAACGTACAGATAACGACCCGGATAAGAGATATCATGAGACAGCGAGACACTTTGTATTTTCTGAACATGAACTACAATGATTGTGACAGTGATGGTGATGATATACAATGATGATGATGATTTTGATGGTGTCCTTTCTCTCTCTTCGACTCTTGCTTTTTATCTTTCCGTTCCATATATATTTTTCCCTTTCCTTCTAAATCTCTCGCATTATTTGACTTGTTTGCTCCGTTACTGTGTCTCTCTCCGTTTCTCTGTCCAACCACTTGGGCTGGACCGTAGAGCGACGGTCTCGCTTCATGCAGGTCGGCGTTCAATCCCCCGACCGTCGACCAAATGGTTGGCCACCATTCCTTCCCTCCGTCCCATCCCAAATCCTTATCCTGACCCCTTCCCAGTGCTATATAGTCGTAATGGCTTGGCACTTTCCCCCCTGATAGGACTCTCTCCCTTTCTCTATCTCATTCTGTCTCCCATTCTCTCTCGCTCGCTTGTATCTCTCTCATTTCCTTATTCCTGGCATTATTTCATTATCATTCCCCCTCTCGTTCGTGTCTTGCTCCCCTTATGGCTTGACTCGATAGTTTTCTCGCTAATCTCATCATTTCCCCGTTTATTCCATCTTGGCCCTTCTCCCTACTTTCGTCTTGTCTCGCCTCTTCCACTTTTATTACGCGTTTGGCTTTTATCGTCACCTTTCTCCTGTCAACCCTTTCATGCCTTTGTCATCCTCTTGGGCTTTTCTCTCTCTCTCTCTTTCTCTTCGTTTTCTGTTTTGTTTGTCTTCCATTTTCGTCGTATTCTTTATGCATGATACAGGTTTTCATCTGTCTGTTTCATCTGTCTGTCACTGTCTGTTTCATCTGTCTGTCACTGTCTGTTTCATATGTCTGTCACTGTCTGTCACTGTCTGTTTCATCTGTCTGTCACTGTCTGTTTCATCTGTCTGTCACTGTCTGTTTCATCTGTCTGTCACTGTCTGTTTCATCTGTCTGTCACTGTCTGTCTCTGACTCTGTTTCAATTCACGTTTAACACATAGTTAACCAATTTTTTTTGTAATCAGTGTCGTGTTTTTGTTTTACGTTTATTTCTAATCAGCAATGAAAATTGTTCTATTACTCAGTGTCTCTTAATTATTCAATTATTCAATCTATGGTTATCAGTGATGGTTCACTATAAAGAGGGTTTTTAGTTTAGTTACTTGGTTTATCTGAGTTTCGTTATAACGAGGTGGTTGTTAAACCATCTTGACACTTTAGGTTAAGTGTTTGGTAAAGTGTTTTTTGTTATGAGAGGGAGCCGGTCGGCCGAGTGGACAGCACGCGGGACTTGTGATCCTGAGGTCCCGGGTTCGATCCCAGACGCCGGCGAGACACAATGGGCAGAGTTTCTTTCACCCTATGCCCCTGTTACCTAGCAGTAAAATAGGTACCTGGGTGTTAGTCAGCTGTCACGGGTTGCTTCCTGGGGGTGGAAGCCTGGTCGAGGACCGGGCCGCGGGGACACTAAAAGCCCCGAAATCATCTCAAGATAACCTCAAGAAGATGGCGTAAAGTGTGTAGTCTTTAAATAAGTGTTTCCATATTTTGTTTAGTTAAAAAAAGGTGATTGACTTGATTGATTGACTTGATTGATTGATTTTGATTTGATTTTGATTTGATTTTTGATTGACTCTTTTTTTTCTGTCCCTGACAAAAATGGATAATTGGATCACTCACACCTTTTGTGTAACAAGTGTTGGGCTCCAGATGAGGAGGGCAAAAGCGTCTCCCTTTAAGCCTTTTGTAGTTCTAATGGGAGATAAAAGTTCATTTCTCAGATTCTTATTTGGCTAATCTAACAAGAATCACGGATATATACGGGCTATTCATGCCCGTGCCACCTCTTGGGTGGCTTAAAGCAGCGGCCATCCACCCCAGTCAACCCGTCCTCACACTAGGCTAGTTAAAGCAACGGCCGTCCTCACACTAGGCTGGTTAAAGCAGCGGCCGTCCTCACACTAGGCTGGTTAAAGCAGCTGCCGTCCTCACACTAGGCTGGTTAAAGCAGCTGCCGTCCTCACACTAGGCTGGTTAAAGCAGCGGCCGTCCTCACACTAGGCTGGTTAAAGCAGCTACCGTCCTCACACTAAGCTGGTTAAAGCAGCTACCGTCATCACACTAGGCTGGTTAAAGCAGCGGCCGTCCTCACACTAGGCTGGTTAAAGCAGCGGCCGTCCTCACACTAGGCTGGTTAAAGCAGCTGCCGTCCTCACACTAGGCTGGTTAAAGCAGCGGCCGTCCTCACACTAGGCTGGTTAAAGCAGCGGCCGTCCTCACACTAGGCTGGTTAAAGCAGCGGCCGTCCTCCCCAGACGCATTCATCAACTTTAACATACTGTTTATTAAATGTCGGTTTGTTCTCGTATATAAATTAATAGTATTTTACATACAAATTCTTTGTATAGTTAGGCCTAGGTTAGGTTAGGAGTTTAGGTTCTGTTGGCGATTAATTGTATTTGAAGTACGTGGGTGAAGCGTTTATCAACCTGTCCTTCGTCCAAATCTGTTCCATCCAGCGGTCGGCCCGTCCTCCAAACACCCAATATCCTTTCCATGCACCCGCCAACCCCCCTGTTTATGAATGAAAAACTGTTTACACACGACTCACAACTGATTTCGTTCGAACACTTCCGGAACAAGTGCTTCACTGACGACTATTGTTCGAACCACAACGCTGTAAATGCTTCACCCACGTACTACAAATACAA